CGGGAATATTAAACTGCATTGCAGATAAATCCCCAACATAAATATCGTGAGCTGCTCTGCCGCGCGGGGGGCTGCAAGGAGATTTATAACCCATCAATCCCCCCCGCCCGCAGCAGCCGCGGCCGCCCCCCTCCCCGGTCCACATCAGCCGTCCTGCTTGCCCTGCTCGCGGTGCCCTGCCATGCTCACCCACCTCACCCGTATGGCCCTGAGTGCCTCGATGGGGGCACTGGGTTTTCCTGGGTGCTGGGGGGAGAACCCTAGGCTGGCATGTGCTGGGCAGGGGTGCTGTGCCACGCTTGCCCCCAGCCACAGGGAGCTCCCACTCAGCTGGTGGCTGCCACCTTGACACACACCACTGTGGCACCACGCCTGCACACATTGACACACGAGTGGGCACATGGACACCCATGCAGGGCCATGAGTGCCAGCGCCGAGGCAGTGACCTGCCACACACGTGCCCTGCCACACACCAGCTCCACAGGTGCCATCGTGCTCGTTCACACCCTGCCACACTCACATGCTCCCTCAGCACCAAAGTTTCTCCATGGGGCACGGACCAGCCACACCGTCTGAACCCTGGCAGGGGGACATCCCAAGGGGGTCACCACCCTGGCGGGTGCCACCGCCCCAGCAGTGTGCTGGGCATGGGGATGCAGCCCTGGGAGGGATTGATGGATGAGCATGGCAGGGAGGGAGGGGGGACTGGCGTTATTAACAGCCCTGGGTACTGTTCGAGCAGGGCTGTAAAAATTAAAGGCGTGTGGATATAAAATAATGGATAAATCTGCGCTGGCCGCAGAGCGCTGCGGCGTCCCGCTGGGGCGGGCGCCTTGGGGAGCCCGGGCACAAGGGGTGCCGGGGCAGGGGTGGGCAGGCAGCACCTGCACCAAATTCCCTCTCCACCCCACTTATGGGGCGCGTGGGCAGGGGCAGCTGCTGGACCTGGCACTCTGGAGCCCAGGCACAGGGAGAGGAGAGAGGCAGGAGGCCATGGGAAGTCTGGGCCGGCGACCCCATACCGGCCGGGCGGGCAGGGTTGGGCCCTCGTGCCCCAGCACCAGCCCCAGGAGCCCGGCTGCTGCAATGTCCCCATGGGTGCCACCCTGCGGACACCCTGTGCCCTCGGCCCCGTGTCTGGGACAGAACCTGGTGCCAGGCTGTGCCCCCTGTGGCGCTGGCATCACTCCACAGCGCCCGCTGCGCGGGCCACCCCGCCGGCAGCCTCATTTTCCCCGAGATTAGCCGCGGCGCAGGAGCCTCCGCGCACCGCCAGCAGGTGACAAATAAGATTTTTCCACTCTCCCGAGCACCCGGCATGGGACTGTCATTGAAAATGCAAAGCAGCGCGGTGCCAACTTCCACCACCCCCTTCCCCACAACCAGCCCCTCCGTGCCAATCCCTTGCCTGGCCAACACCCTCTCCATGGCCAGCACCCATCCAAGCCCATATAAAGCACTGGCTCCCAGCCGGGCATGGGAAGTGGGTGCCCTCTTGCTCCATGTGGCACCAGTCCTGGGGTCTGCAGGAGAAGGGGGCAGCGGGTGGGTGCTGGGATGCCACTCCGGGCTGGCACCGGGGCTTTGC